GTATGGAAAGTGGCCAAAGAGTGAATCTGGAGGATGCATGGAAAATCATCCTTGATGCGAAAGTCGATGTTAAAAAATTAGGATTATTTGTGTGCCTCTCAACTAACATAATCGATTGACCGGCATGTCTGTATAAATGAAAACAATTTATTCACCATACACTTTTTATGCCATTACTCTAAGGGGACTTTTTGAAATCCTTTTTAGGACAGCGGAGGCCTTGCGTCCATACTCGAACAATGCATCACTGAGAGTGAATATTTACCAGAGCGTAGAAGTGGTAGCACACACAACGTGCTTGAGGATCAAGAAGTTGCTGAAAATGAAACCAGAGAGAGGCAAGTCAGTCAGATTAATCAATGGAAAAATGAATGCATTCATAGCCGAATGCGGTCCATTCAAGTTCCTTTTGATGGATTAATTGACAATTTTTATTAACCTATTGGAAGTCTTGGGTGACGGTGGTAACCTTAATACTGGGACAGCATTGAAGAGGACCTAAATAAAGCGATTGGAGGGGGGGGGGGAGTAAGAAGAAGTAGAAAATCCAGGTAGAGTTGCCGTGAATCTACTGAAAGATGAATGGTAACATTTGAAAGTATGCCATTAGCGTGTTATTCCTCACTAGTTTCCCATGAGTTTGGTAATTGTTGCATCTACATAGTATTTCATTTAGTAATAACTATACCATCGCATTATTGCCTTAATAGAATGATTGAGGTTATGCTGCAATTTTGGACAGAGGAAGAGATAACATCGGAATCGATCGATTCAATTATCCGAATTCTCAACTACTCCGATCTGATTGAGTTCTGTTCATTCGAAAAGGACTCCGATGGTACGCTTGATGCTAAGATTGTTTCGTCACTCATCAATCCAGGTGAGTTTTGGAAGTTCTCTTTTAAAATTATGACATCTGGCATCAGCAACATTCAGCAAGTTAAGCAACTCAAACATATTTTAGTGTTGTTCCAAAGTCAGGATCCGAATGCGAACTGGAAACCGCGGTTAAAGATAGCTCTAGAATTGGATCGAGCGGATTTCGTGATGGAGAAGATATTGAATGATACCAATTGGACGGTGAGCATCAAATTTATCTTTTTTATTGTGTAGGTCTTTACGTTGCTATAAAATAAAAAACCAAATATACATGTCATTTATTAAATAAATAATGTGATTTAAATTACTTTCTTCTAAGGCAATAGTTACTTGAATGGGGTCTATAATGACGAAAACATTCTATTAGCTGGAAAATTTAAAACTAACATGTGTTATTTTTTAGAGACATATATTCCGATTATTTGGCATTATATATATATATATATATACCTTTTGCTTCTGATTTTCAGCCAAAGGAAATGATACCTTTCGTGAAAAGTTGTTTACTGGATGACAAGGTGCAATTTCTTCGCACTTTCGCCGAGGTTGGTTTGAACATGCACGAATTTGCAACCATGAAGGCTGTTGAAGAGCTCTTCTCCTTGGAGGCTCATCGAAGTGTAATTTTACCTGAAAATCACAGATCATAATAGCTAATTTGAAGTGACGCTCTCATTACCTAATTGGATGTTTACTTGTAGACGACTGGTGGTGCCACCTTGAGGGAGTTTTTGCTTTCTTACCAATCCAAGGTTAGTTGCCTCATTTGTGTGCGTGTGCCGTGGATTTAAGAAGTGGGGGGGGGGGGGGGAATTATGAAGACGGAAGGAATATTCAGAGATGAATGGAATAAAAGGGGATTAGTAACACAGGATTTGTATTAGACAAAAGTAAATGCAAATATGATAACAGAGATGTAGTAAGTGGTGACTAAAGAGGAGTTAAGAATGGGTCAGTCTATTTTCGGTACCACCTCAGTAAAACAGTCATCAGTCATTTTGATCAAAGCATGGTGACATGCATCGGTAGTGGAATGATGAATATACCCATCTGGGGAGTCAATGGTCATTGGAGCAGGGTGCTCATATTTGTGCGTCCCCAGAGCGAAATGACCCATCGTATTTGTTTGGTCTAGGAAGTCAAGAGGTGTTAGAATTCGAGTTCTCATTGGGTGGACCCCACGATGCTGCCCTTGTATCCAAGGTGAGAGTCGAAAACACTTTTACATAAAGAGAATTGGAAGTTAGAGAACACTGTGACGAAGTAAATACAAGACATTGCTTTGAACTAAGCAATATAATTAATATATGTGTATGTATCGTTTTAACACGGGGTTTGGTTTATTTCAGTTACCGTCTCGAATTACAATTGAGAGGGTGAAGAAAACTCTGCAGAAGATAATGGGCCACCACTTTCTGACCTACAATACAAATATTCCCAAAGGTCATAACATTGGACATCGCCTCACCTTCAAAGACATTCATGATGAATTGGGTAAGGTCTTAGAGAAAGTCTTTGCATCGTTGAGGGCCAAATGACAAAAAACGTTGACCTTCCTTTTCACTATTAGCCGAACCAAGGAAAAGTAGAGACATTTTTGTTGGATCAGGCGAAGAAAACTACATACAGTACCTCTTCCTCTGGGCTCTCATAACTGGAAGATTTGAAATTGCTCATTTCCTTCTAATGGGACAGACAGACATTAGCGCTGGAGCTCTATTTGCAGCTGGCTTTCTTCGGCGTTTGTCCAGAATCACTCGGCAAATCTCAGGTTTTGAAGAGAATAAACTTAAAGCAAGGTTAGTTATTTGCTTGAATTAAATTGTGCCCATTTTGTGATGAGAATCTCATAGTCGGTCTGGCTTTCAGAGAGTTTGAACTACTGGCTGTGTCTATATTGGAGGCCTGTTACCTCAACAATAAAGAGAATACATTGCACTTGCTAGTGATGGAGAGAAGAAGCTACGGCATGATTTCCTGTATGATGATAGCCTCGGAAGGGGATTGTCGAGAATTCATCCAACACAGAGCATGTCAAGAATATATCGATCGTGTATGGGCGCACACCCTCCAGATCAATAGCTCTTCATCTAACGTAAGATTTCTATCACCTGATGGGTATAACTGCAATAATTTAAATGGCATACATTATTTCTTTTGTAGTTCGTTTTAAGTTTATTTGTCGGAATGATTTGTCCTCCCCTTGTTCCATATTTTGCCGAATACGATGAATCGAAGTATTCAAAACTGACCGATGAGGTAGAAGTGGTAAGTCTGATGGGAGCCTAAAAAAATCAACAAGATTTAACTCTTCTAATGCATCACTTTATTCCCTAAAGATTTACGTAAGCATGAAAATTTACATCTGATTAATGGTAAACATTGAGAATGATGGCGTAACGGAGTAAACGCCAATAACAGAATTAGTAATAGTAATAATAATATTATTATTAATAATTGTTCATATTTACCATGAGTAAGTTCCGAATCAATTATTTCCTATGCTCAAAACTGTTAATAAATCATACACCGTGCCAGTTTACTATGAATGGGAAAATCAATAGAGAGTTGTGTTCATTCAGAGGTGAAGGCACCATTGATCAGGATAACTTTCTCATATGGTGGAAGGTAGATTCAAAGAGGGAGAAAAATGGTAAAAAAGTGTGGAATAAAATTGTGAGGAGAGTTAGGAGGAAATCGAAATCGTTTAAGAGCTAAATCTTAAGTTTGCCTCTTACTCGGATCAACCATGTCATTTTCTTAGTGAAAGCCATTTGACTCAACGGTAGACAAATTGATAATTATGAACCACTATTGAATCCCCTTTCACAGTTTCATGACTTTTTAACCGTTAAAGAAGCTTTTTGTATGTTTTAGAAGAAGAAGAGGAAGTTTACCGTTCGATGTTACCAACGAAAATTGAAGGATTTCTATCTGGCTCCATGTGTTCGACATGCATACCAACTTGTAAGATCAAAAGATGTGGAAGTGTAACTATTGTTACCTAATTGAGCTGACAAAACGCCATTTAATTCTCTAGACAACCATGATCGTACTTTTCCTTTTCTTCGTCATCAACGTGGTGGTCGAATTGAATTACCAAACTTCACTCATACGTTTCATTTCGTTTTTCCTCATTGCTATGGCCTTTGTTCAAACACTCGAATTTTTCCGAATTGTGAGTTTCCAAAAAATTAGAGTTCTAAATTCCGCTTTCTAGGTCTTCTTAAACTGGATCTCTTTCGGAATGTTCATCGCATCAACATATAACAGACTCATTATAGCCTCTTTTTTGGGCTACGTTATTGGCACAGCTATTCAAATTATGATGTACCTTTACGTGCCTCGGACGTATATACTGGAACAAATGAGTCAAACCCTCCTCGTAATTGCCATTCTATTTCCATTTGCGAAAATTTTACGCCTCCTTTCCATTGGAAAGTACATTGGACCGAAGCTACAAATGATTATTAAAATGGTAAGTAATTGGCACGTTTATAACGAAGATGTTTTAAAGTGTAAGATTAGTTTTGTAGCAGTTAGCCATGATGCTATATTTATGGCTAATGGTTTGGAATTGAGATGCAGTATAAATAGACTTTATGCTTGTTACCGTTAGCCCTTTAGTTGACTACGGGGAACGTCAACTTCACAAAAATTCGAGGGGTGGGGAACAGAAGAGTGATTCAAAGATGTAAAAGATGCTGACACAAAGGTGAAGAAGAAGTTAAGGTGAGCACCGTGAAAGTGGTCGAATATGACATACAGTCGGGTCTTGGTAGTTTGAAGTTAACTGTCATTTTATAGACCTTTTGTCCTGTGAGTATATGTTGCTCAGGTTACACCAATTGGAGGTAAGTCTATCACGCACTTCTCATTAGGCAAATACAGCTAATCACAGGGCTTTTAATGCACGTTGATTGACTGGATTCATGGTTAACAAATAATGCAACAGTTTCACTATTTCATTGGCGGGGTGGGAACCTGAAAGAACAGGGATTGGAAACTCAGTTCGTATTTCAATGAATCTTTTTTTAAGAATTTCATGAATTGTTGCAAGATTGTCATGGTGGTGAGTTGAGAACATACCTGATTGTGTGCTCTACATGATTCCTTTAGGCATTTCCTCATGATAAACCAATTTTACCAAGGCTAATACATTAATACATTGAGGTATTGTCTTATAGGCACAACTGTATGAGTGATTGAGTAATCAAGTATGGTTATTGTCGTGGCGCTCAACAAACTTATGGGTTTTGTCTCGGTAATCTTGAAATT